GTAGTAGTAGTAGTAGTAGTAGTAGTAGTCGTCGTGGTAGTAGTAGTAGTAGTAGTAGTAGTAGTAGTAGTCGTAGTCGTAGTCGTAGTCGTAGTCATAGTCGTAGTAGTAGTCGTTGTCTTAGTCGTATTCGTCGTAGTAGTCGTAATAGTCGTAGGAGCCGCGGTAGTCGTAATAGTCGTAGTCGTGATAGTAGCAGTAGTAATAGTAGCAGCAATAATAGTGGTAGTAGTAGTAGTAGTAGTAGTAGTAGTAGTAGTAGTAGTAGTAGTAGTAGTAGTAGTAGTAGTAGTAGTAGTAGTAATAGTAGTGGTAGTAGTAGAAGTAGTAGTAGTCGTAGTGTAGTAGTAGTAGTAGTAGTGTTCGTGTAGTAGGCTTAGTTAGTTGAGTAGTGTTAGTAGTAGTAGTAGTATAGTATAGTAGTAGTAGTAGTAGTAGTAGTAGTAGAAGTGGAGTAGGTAGTAGTAGTAGTATAGTAGTTTAGTAGTCAGTAGTATTAGTAGTAGTATAGTTAGTAGTAAGTGTAGTGAGCGTGTAGTACTCGTATTAGTGTAATCGTAGTAGTATGTTAGTAGTAGTAGTAGTCGTCGTTAAGAGTAGTAGAGTAGTAGTAGTAGCACACATTAGTAGTAGTCAGCATTTTGAATAGTAAGTAGTAGTAGTTAGTAGAGTAGTAGTAGTAGTTAGTGGTAGGTAGAGTAGTAGTTAGAGTATAGTAGTAGAGTAGTGTAGGTAGGTAGAGTCGTAAGTAAGTAGTCGTTCGTAGTAGTAGTATAGTAGTAGTAGTAGTAGTTTAGTAAGTAGTAGAGTTAGAGGTAGTAGTAGTAGTAGTAGTAGTAGTGATAGTAGTAGTCGTAGTAGTAGTAGTAGTAGTAGTAGTAGTAGTAGTAGTAGTAGTCGTAGTAGTAGTAGTAGTAGTAGTAGTAGTAGTCGTAGTCGTAGTCGTAGTCGTAGTCGTAGTCACAATACAGGAGGTGGAGAAGGAGGAGCAGGAGGAGGAGCAGGAGGAGGACCAGGAGGAAGAGGAGAAGGGCGAGGAGGTAAATCAGGGAAAAGAGGAGCAATAATTGGAAGAGGGGGAGGAGGAAGAGGAGGAACATGATGATGATGAGGAGGAGGAGGAGGAAGAGGAGGAGGATGAGGAGGATGAGGACCAGTGTAAACCCAGGATTTATTCACGATGTTGGAGTGCACCGTCTTTGCAAACTTCCTCTTCACAGGCCCCTGCAATGGTTCATTTCGATTGAGGGACTTGCCCCATCGGGGGGCAAAAGTGTGAACATCTAGAAGTTTTCCCAACACATTAATGTCAGGAGTCCAACGCCACGAGTTAGCCCGATTGGTACGTTTTGGCGATCTTGAGTCTTGCCAGAACGCCATTCCCGGGGCTTCAACACCGCGATTCAACGTAACTGTTGCGCACGGACACTCCTGAACCGATCCAACACATAATTTCTCGTACGTTCACCATGGGAATCAGTGAAACCTTCGCGATGCTATAAAAACCGAATGCGCGCGGCGCTGAGGCGAGAGCCATATTTTGAAAACGACCCGCCCTCAATATGTGAAGCTTTTGCGAACTTTTAGAAAGAATGTGCGCGGCGCTGAGGCGAGAGCAAACTTTTGAAGACTACTCGCCTTCAATCCGTGAAACACTTGCGAATTTCTTAAAACGAATGTGCGCGGCGCTAAGGCGAGAGCCACATTTTGAAAACGTCCCGCCGTCAATCCGTGAAACTATTGCAGTTTTTTCAAACGAATGTGCGTGTCGCTAAGACGAGGGCCGCGTTTTGAAAACTACCCGCCGACAGTCCGTGAAACTCTTGCAAAGCTAAACAGCGAATGTGCACGGCGCTGAGGCGAGAGCCACAGTTTGAACACGTACCGCCGTCAGACAGTGAAGCTGTTGCAGTTTTTCAAACGAATGTGCATGGCGCCACGACGCGAGCCACGTTTTGAAAACTACCCGCCGTCAATCCGTGAAGCTCTTGCACTTTAAAACATCGAATGTGCTCGGCGCTAAGTCGAGAGCCACAGTTTGAAGACGACCCGCCCTCCATCCGTGGAGCTCTTGCAAATTTCTAACCCGAATGTGCGTCGCGCGAAGGCGAGAGTTACATGTTGAAAATCACTCGCCCTCCATTTGTGAAACTGCTGGGGATTTCCCAGCTTCAGGATCATAAGTGGTGCGGATGTCTCGGGCGAAACGCCTGGCCCGCCCTCTCGACCGCCCTCGGGGTGCGACAGGGAGGAATTATTCATAAAGTAAAGGGAATGGATGATGATGAGGAGGAGGAGGAGGAAGAGGAGGAGGAGGAATAATAATAAGAAGAGGAGGAGGAGGAGGAGGAATTGAGGCAGGAGGAGAGGGCCGTCACATGCGATACCTGTCGTCTTGCCTTTCTGTAGAGCTCGCATGGAATTTATTTGGGCCGTCTTGGGACTGTTTTGGGATTCTGTGGGGCAATCTCGGGAGTCCCGTGGTGCCGTCCTGGGGCCCTCGTGGACCGTTCTGGGGCCCTCATCGGCCGTCTGGCGGCTCTCTTGGGCTGTTTTGGGGTCCTATTGGCCGTGTGGGGGATGCCTGGGGGCCGTCGTGGGGCCGTCTTGGCGCCGCCTTGGGGCGCCGAAGGGCTTTGTAACGCCGTCTTGGGTGCCTCTGAAGGCCGTCGGCCGTCTTGGGGCTGTCTTGGGTGCCTCGTGGGCCATCGTGGGGTCCCCTTGGGCCATCTTGGTGCCCTCTTTGGGGGCCCCTTGGGCCGACTTGGGGCCACCTTCGGGGCTTCTTGAGCCGTGTTGGGCTGACGGTAACAGGAAAAGCCGAGACCGCGAACATCCTGCAGACACATGTGAGGCATAAGTGATTTTTCGACCCTGTTGGGGGTCCTCCTGTGGGCCTCCTGGTCCCTCTTGGAGCCATTTTGAGCCGCCTTGGGGCCATCTTGGGCCGTTTTCGATGCATTCTTGGCCATCTTCGCGGCCTTGATTGCCTGCCTGGGCCGTCTTGGAAGCTCGGGGCTCGGGCCCACCGTTTTTTTTTGGAGGGGTCATGGCCTCGGGAGCGCGCATCTGTTTTTTACACAAGGATCGTGCCTCGGGGGGGGAGGGGGGGGCCACGCCCGCGACACTCTGGGTGGGTGGGTGGGGTGGTGTTTTAAGACAGACACCCTACCAGGCAACCCTTTGAATTATACCACGCCTCAACGTGCTAGGGGGCACGGTGGCGGAGATATAGCAGATGAGGAAATCTGTGGGGGGAGGAGGAGGAGGAGGAGGAGGAGGAGGAGGAGGAGGAGGAGGAGGAGGAGGAGGAGGAGGAGGAGGAGGAGGAGGCGGAGGCGGAGGCGGAGGAGGAGGAGGAGGAGGAGGAGGAGGAGGAGGAGGAGGAGGAGGAGGAGGGGGAGGGGGAGGGGGAGGGGAAGGAGGAGAAGGTAGTGGTGGCAGGACTGCTCCCTCGCCGGCCAGGTGTCGAACGAGCAGGCTGTGTCCTTCGAAGGCTCCATTTGGGCGCAGGCAGACCAGCCCATGACGCTGAGCGTCTGGCAGGTGCACTGGCCGAAGGCGCGCTTGGCCGCAGCCGAAAATCCTTTTCTTTCTTGCGACGCTCCGACGGAGGGCATGGCCTCTGACAACCGTGCTCAATTTCTGCTCCTTTGCTGGAGGCTGCTCGTTCGTTGGAGGGTCGCTTGTTGGCAGGGCATGGTCTTCTCCAGGGGGGCGCCCCGTACATACCCTCTCGCGCGGGATTGGCGTCACTGTGCGACTTGGCCTATGACAGAGTGGCGAGGCTTCTCTGATTTCACTGTCTACATCTGGCTCGTTTGCACAATCGATACAGTTCTCCATCGCAAATACCGGTGCGTGCAGGAGCTATGCCGGTGAGGAGGATTCGGATGCATGGTAGGAGGCGCAGGAGGAGGAGCCACAGCAGGATTAGGATGAGGTGGGCTTGCTTCTTTCCGTATCCGCTTCTACGCAAACCTACCCGTCTCTCCGATTATCTTTCTCTCTCTCTCTCGTTCGTTCTTTGCCCTTCCCCCCCTCAGTTTCTTCCCCGCGATTCCGTCTCATTGCTCCCTTGATTATTGCCTCCTCCTCCTATCGTGCATCCCGGTCATTCTATCTGCCTGTAGGTCTGGCTGAATTTCGATAACTACGCGGACAGCCCACAAGAGCTCGCGAAGATTGAGCTCTCTGAGCACTGGCGAAAGCTGAATTTCACTGCTCAACTGACCAAGGAGCTCCTTCTCCTCCGCTTCCTCCTCCCCCATCCTCCTCTCCGTCGTCCTCATGATCCCCCTCCTGCGCTTTGTTTGTTTGCTTGTTTGTTTGATTGGTTGTTTGCTTGCTTGTTTATTTGTTTGTTTGTTGGTGAATCGATTCGAGGCTTCGGCGCGGGATTGCGCGTTGAAATATTGAAACACTTAAGAGCAAGACATTCGGAGTCAAAAGTCCAAACTCGGAAAGACAATGGCATTGTAATTCTCAATCCCGTGGATGCGGATTGAAAAGTGGAGCATTGCACATCTTCAATTCGGGGGTCGCACGGGGTCGCGGAGTGAAACATTGAGACATTTCAGAAAGAGCTGTGTGGTTTCCATCTCTTGAGTTTTCACTCCGTTGGGATCCGCATTGACAGTCTTAGCGATCCGACTCTCAATACCAGCGCACTCGTACTTCGTGTCTTGCTGCGGAGCGGGGCGGGGGAGGGAGGCGAGTCGGGCGGGCGGCACACTCGAGAAAGTACAGCTCTTCTTCGAGGCAGGGCCCATGAGGCGGGGCGGGACATTAGCGTGGAGGAGGAGGAGGAGGAGGAGGAGGAGGAGGAGGAGGAGGAGGAGGAGGAGGAGGAGGAGGAGGGGGAGGAGGAGGAGGAGGAGGAGGAGGAGGAGGAGGGGGAGGGGGAGGAAGGGCAGGAGGAACGGGCAGAGCGCGTCGGGCGGGCGGAACGAAAGCATCAGGCCTCCCTCGAGGGAAAGTCGGGCGGCGCGGGGCAAACGGGGCAGGGAGAGGGGCGGGCGGGACGTGAAGTGCAGGGCTCTCTACTTTCTGGCGTGGGGCCTCGGGCGGCGCGGGCTCCCTTGCCCCGGGGGCCCCGATCGACCCCTCGGCGACCTGCAGCTCGGGCCCGCTCCTGCGGGGGATCTCTGCGCCGTCGTGCAGGCCTCGGAGGACATCAGCGGACA